TTCATTTTCAGTTTTTCCACCATTGTATCATGTGTCATTGTTTTGTTTTGACCACTAGAGGTCCTCATTGTTTTTCACTTTCTGTTTTTCCACCATTGTATCCCGTGTCGTTGTTTTCTCCTGTGTCTTGTTTCCACAGGGTATTCAATTTGCTCTGTTCCTCTGTGTTGTATGTGTTGTGTGAACAATCTGGAGTTACAGTTTGAAATTACTTTATGGATTGTCTTGGATTTACTTTGTGGACTTATTAACGATATTTAGACATTTTAAGTCAGTTCTCCCTGACTGTGCACTCGTTTCTGCACCATAACCTGTGTTCGGCCCACAGAGCCTTCATATCTCGGTCCTGACAAAAGTTTCAAATCTTGATTTGTGTGATTTGCAATGTTCTATTTGTTAACATTAAGCAATCATCAGTTAGACTGAATAATTAAAAGGTGATTTAATATGATTATTTGAAAACAAAAGAAAAACTTAGGTTTGCCTACATAGGAAACAAATGTCCCCACAATGAAGACCTGACATATACAACTGCTTACTGAGGAAAGTGAGTAAAGGGGGCATCACAGTGTTTTATACTATTCGGTTATTGTTAAAAATAAAAGCCATTGCAGTTCCTACTGACATGAAAACACGTCATTTATGGTGTATAAAATAGTATTTTTTTTATGTATAAGCAATTGTAGCAATTGTTAATTGTTTAAAATAATTACTATAAATATATGTGAAAACAAACAGGAATATATACAACTATGAAATATTTAGAAAATATGTTTGACATTTAAAACAGTTTCTGTAATGTTGTGCTGAAGAGTAGATAAATATAGGTAAACACTACATTGCCTCTATAAGAAATGACTGCATTAATGCCAGAGATCTAGTAACCACAGCCACAGATGTCATGCCCACAGATCGTTGGTTGAACGTCTGATGCATATGGCACGCTTAACTGGAAACACTTCAGGAGTTGAAGTCGCAATCTGTTTGTTTGAATTTACAGGATTTCCGGGAGACGTGTGTGTTGCGTTCTTTATCGATATGCCTGGAAACAAAGCCGCTGTGACGCCAAACCCCCTCATGGAAGAACAAAGCCATCATGTTTACAACTGTGACAATGAGTGCTAATCAGGATCCACTAAATGCTGGATTTTCAAAAGTATGTGATTAATTTGAGTTTAATTTTTATCATTACATTATGGAAAATAATGAACTTTATCACAATATGCTAATTTTTTGAGAAGGACCTGTATATAGCCACTCTGGAGAAAACCGTGATGTCATCGTCCAGCTCAGTTCAGTTCTCATAATGGTGTCAATGCAGGCAAATCAATAATAGCCATATCGTTGAATATTTAACTGAAATAGTGAGCATAAGATTAATTTGTTCCAGGGATCAAAATGAAGCAACTTTTTTTTGAGTAATCAGCCTAAAAATGTTTGGTTTATGTTACAAATCCATATCCTCTAACTCAATATAGTTTGTTAGTTGAACACAATTTTCAGCTCCAGAAGGATAAAAGGAGTGACAACAGTGCAAGACGAGAAAGAAGCAGGCCTGGACTTTACGTGTACTTTTGTTTTGGTGTTTGTTTATTTTTGGATTCAGGTTTTATGTTAAACGTTTGCATGGTTCCCGTCTCCTTCCCTGAACATTGCTACACTGTTAATTGTTTTGTTTTGTTGGGACAACACATTATTTTTAGAGGGATTTTTCATTGCTTGTCTTATGGAGAAAAAAAAATAAAAAAATGTGCACGGTACCCTCTGGACGTGGTGCCCTTGGGCACTTGCCCAATTGCCCATATGGTTAATACACCGATGATAGGCACAGATGTTCCCTGGTTCCGGGGAAACCGGTGGGAAACCTCTAATAAAAAAATAAAAACTTGAAGGTTTCAGCTAAGTGTAGGCAATGTCAAAGTGTGTCCCATTGAGTAAACAAAAGTCTCAAAACATTTGGATTTAGTGTAGTGTGCTTTGACATTTTTTTTGATCTGGGACAGTCTTGTGCACTTACGTCTTGTCAAGTTCAAAAGCCCTCAAGTGGCCAAGACTGCAAGTGTGTGTTTTAGGATAGGCCCTGATATTCTCTGATTACTGATAAACTGTGACCAAGCTCTCCCTCACCTGTCACAGTCACCTACACACACACCTGGTCTTTGTTAAACTGCAAAACAAGGACTGTATTTATACTATCCCTATTCACACTCACTCTAGTCTCTTTTGTCTTACTCCCAAAGACTGTTCAGACTCTTATTTATATAGTCCTTTATGACTGTTGCTTGTCAGACTACGAACATGAGCCCCGCCGTAAGACATGTCACACTGTGGGATCTCAGGTGTCATTAATGTCAGACTGTACAGCAGTCAAGACGAGTTTCATCTCTTCTCTGGTGACGTGTTCTTCTGTGCGAGGGCAGGACAACCTGTCACTCACATGAGATCGCAGCAATTGAAAACCACAACGTCCAACAATCCAATCAATTCCCAATGGACAAAATCAAGCCAACATTTTTTTTTATATTCTTGTGATGACCAGGATTTAAGCCACAATTTTTATATATTCATATTTGCATTTGATCAATAAATAAAAGGACATTACTATATTGGTTTGGTTTAAGATCTTTATTTGTCATTGTATGTAGTTATTTGGCTTAAGGTTAAAACATTAAAACCAGTTAAAATTCATCTTTGGCTAAAATGTGATTTATAAAAACAAAGCTCAAATTGGTAGTTCATTTTGTAATTAAGACGCTTTGAAATGTTTAGTACCTGGTGTGTTGTGGGAATGGACCAGCCTGACAAAGAGATTCAAACAGGAAGTTGATCTCTTTTATGGGAATTCTAAAGGAAATGAGACTTACCAACTTTGATGTATTAGAGGGGACATGTGAAAATGTGATGTCTTGATCAATGTGATTTTTGTTTAATAGAATTCTTTTGCATTAACTAAAATGTATCCATGGCTCTAAATTTAGTTAAATGTATTGTGTTCATTCAGGATTTGTGTTGTTATTGTTGTGAAAATGTGAATGGTTTTGTTTCCCCCTTTTTGTTTTCATGGTGCTGGCCACCTCTTATAAATTCTGTGTATGTTTTGTTTGAGGGAGTTGTTACTTGTTGTACCCAGGGAAAGGTGGTGTTGAATTTTGTCCTCTGTCAGTTTGAGAGGCTCAAGCCCAATTATGCCATATTTGGAATACTGGATATTTCCTGTGATGTAATCTGAATGGAATACTATATATTTTGGATCTTCTTTTTTTTAACTGTTGCCTTTTTCCTCTCTAATGAGGCTTGATAACTTTTTATCTTGCATAAGCAAGATTAAATCAAACTGTCACAATTGAAGACCACTTTGCTCCCTGTTTTGTGGCGATGGATTCTTTTTTTAGTTGTGATTTGCTAAGGCTCATGGCAGATCCATCACAATTCTAGAGGCTGTTTCACGCCAAAAGCCCTGTCTCAAATGGCACCCTAAACCTATGCCCTATAAACACTCGCAAGCTGTGTCCCAATTCAGAAGCTGCATCCTTCGAAGTCCACGAAGGTCAGAACGAGCGTTGTTAAATGGCACATTTCTGTTCCATGCCGACATGCGGTCACATTTACCACTACATATTTTCGCATTTTTTTTTATCTTTTTCAGTGAGGTAAAAAACTATTTAAAATAATGTATAAACCAAACAAAGGAAGGCTTAGAACATCTCCACTTACTGCAATGAATATGATATTTACCCATAAGATTAATCATATTGACTAAATCTGATACTGATGAATCTACATTATCTATAAAGAGGATGTATGGCAAGGTGAGAGTAGGGATATTGTTAATCTTAAGTGACAGCCAATTATGTACGTAGCTTGGACCAGAAGCTATTGGACACGGGGCAAAACAAAGTGTTCCAGAGTCTCATCAGCCATCTCACAAAATACACAAGGGACTACATCAAATTTGAATCTTTTTCTGGATATATCTTATAAATTATTTTAAAGTGAGTTTCTTTGACTTTTGGGAAAATGGGCCATTTATTGTTTTTTCTATGGACAATGCAACCATATTCGGAACCTGTACACACAATCCTCTGTTATAATAAAAAAAACTATTTAGATTTCAAAGCATCATTAATATATTTATTATTACATTTATTGTCAACTAAAGTACAATCATTAATTAAATTTGGTAAAGTTGGTATGGGTCATTCTTGTATATAACAATGTGTTTTGAATGAACTGTAATGGTATAGGTGTTGCTTTACAGTTCTTATTGTATTCTCTATATGTACACTTTAAATTATATTTGTCTTAGAAAGCTTTATTCCAAAAAGTTACCATTATCATCTATAACATCATTCACAAACACAATGCCCCTTTCATACCAATCATACCTGAACAATGATTTCCTATTGATTATAATGACCCTATTAGCTCTGTGCTTCATGCATCTCTATAGGCTACTATTGGCAACATAGAGAGGACATTTTATTTCAGGTGCACCATAAGTGTGTGACACATCATTCAGCAGTGTGTGCACTGAACTTACCAGTTTGACTGCAGGTCTTCACAAGGATCTTGTTCTTTGTAAATGAATGATTTGGACGTTTCGATTCTAAAAAAAAGAATGCATATATGCCTATAGGCTACTCAAAAATAACAGAAAAAAAGATTGATTAGAGATCTAAACTTGAGCCCACCTGAGAAATTCTCATTTAATAACAATAATAGCCTACCTTCTAATGCTTACTAATTAATTTAAAAAAAATCTGTACAATATAATGAAAATAATTAATTAATGAAATACTCAATAATAAATAAATTCTTCAATTTAAATAGCGACACAATCGCACAAAAACAATGACGCCATCAGTGGACTTCATATTCCAAGTTCCTTTGTACCTCTAAAACGCTACAATCTCTGATTGGTTGCGTGCTTCTGGTAGGCGGGAACAATGCTTTATGGGCGTGCTCTTACATTCCGATTAGCTGTTGTGAATGTCAATCATCAGGGCAATTCTAGTGTCTGGTTTCCTGTGTTACCGCCCTTGGGCTGAGACAGTGAAGACGGGTGCGGGAATTTCTTTGCTTTCCGACCAAGAATAGGTCAATAAAGGGTACAACACTTGCAGGAATTTTTCTAAGGTAAGAAATATGCTTCGTCCTCTCTCAGCGTGAGGGTTATATTTAGGTAGAGTTCATAAATGTAGAGGTTTGTGTGGTTCAAGAGTTAGCTGGCTAAGCGCTCGAGCGCTGATATCCGTATGAGCGTGAGCAGATGGGCCAACAGTTTATGATATTACAATGATCCAAAACTATCAAATGATCTTATAAGCATAGCGCACTGAGCCTATTATATATACTTCGTAATATGTTGAAACGGATACATGATCATAACTAATTAACACATGCTTCACTGATTTTATCAAGGTAACACTTGAGACCATATGTGATCTGGGCACCCATCATAGTAAATAATACATGTAACGTAACGTTACTGTAAAAACTACACACAAATTTGATTCAGTCTGGTTTCTCATAGTTGTATTACAATATAGCTGGATTTAATCTCACAATGTATATTTGAAATATGATTACATCCTAATTCATAATTTAGGACTTTCGGGCGTTTTGATCGTTATTAAAAAGGGTCTGCGTAAATGAAGTTTTGTATTATTGTCCATGTGTATAGGCTACTGTAAATGATTTTGTATAATGATAACGTGAATGCTTAATGTAGATTCGTTTATAAGCATTGCAGACGCTATAGCGTGCACGCGCTGATGCTGATGATAATGCGGTCTCGCGCAGGTCATGGCTGTTGCTTACCGGTAATTGTATGTTTATAGTGTAACGTTATTATTATTATTATTATTATTTAGCTGTCTCGCACAGAGCGAGCGCAGCTGTACAGTATGTGAGCTCTTGTGTCTCGTTATAACGGGTGTGGTCTTCACCCGGGGCGTGACTCTGCGTGGTTTTACATAACTGACTCATGGGATTTAATGCATAGTATAACACAATATAGTTCACTTTCCGCAAAGGCATTATTGAAGGTGTGAGAATGAAGACTGTTCCCAAACAAACATGTGCTGCTTTGAGAGATGATGATGGATGAATTAAAGAGCTCCAAGAGTGTTTTTATGTCATTATTTATTTTTTATTATTAGTGAAAAGATCACTGCCAGGGCCCTATGAAATTCGTTATCTATCTATCTATCTATCTATCTATCTATCTATCTATCTATCTATCTATCTATCTATCTATCTATCTATCTATCTATCTATCTATCTATCTATCTATCTATCTATCTATCTATCTATCTATCTATAAGGCTGGACATTTGTTTGTAATGGATTTTTCTCTTCCTGAAATGGCACTTTAAAGAGCACTTGTCTAAAGTAATGATTGCTTTGCTAGATGTACCTCTTACACAATAAACATTTCAAACCCCACCCTCCATCTGGGTTCCATAAGCCTCAGTCTCTGTCTCTCAGAGGAAGTGCTTGATGAGAAAGAACCAGAGAAAAGATTCTCAATGTTGTCACTGTCAGAAGCACAGCTAATTTGAGCTTTTTTCCCCCTTTCTAGAGTAATGAAGGAGATCTCCTCACATTTCCTCTTTTGAGTTTAATTTGAGTGAATACGGAACCAATATTGACACCAGTAAGTCAATAATATACCCTATAAGTTTGTGGTCAATACCGGTCAAAGGTTTGAAAACACATTTTTTTATGTTTTTGAAAGAAGTCTCTTATTTATGATCATCAAGCCTGCCTTTATTTGATCAAAAATACAGAAAAAAAATGTATATTACAATTTTAAATAATGGTTTTCTATTGTAACATACTTTAAAATAAAATGTATTTCTGTGATCAAAGCTGATTTATCATCAGCCATTACTCAAGTCTTTAGTGTCACATGATCCTTCAGAAATCAGAATTTAAAAAAAAATCTATTTAACTGAATAAGTATTAAATTCTTGCAAAAAAAGAAAGAAAAAAAATTACTGATCCCAAAATTCTGAACGATATTGTATTGTGTTACAAAAGATTTATATTTAAAATATAGAATCCTGAAAAAAGTATCACAGGTTATAACAAAATATTAAGCAGCACAACTGTTTCCAACGTTGATAATAAATCAGCATTTTAGAATGATTTCTGAAGGATCATGTGACACTGAAGACTGGAGTAATGATGCTAAAAATGTATGCTTATTACATCCAGCAAAGTACACTTTCAGATTGAAGGATGATTCTCACAAAAATGTATTTTCTGCAAGCTTTTTTCATGGTATATTTAGATGTCCTTCCAAAAAAAGGACACTTGAAGACTCCAAAAGTGCTTGTGCCATTTTAGATGCTCAGTTTGATAAACTCAAGATCATTGTATGGGCCGGGGTGAAGTAAATTACTTGAATGACGCAATTTAACGTGCTTCAGTAATTTATTTGCATCAAAGTATTTTAACCCAATAAGGATTTTTTAATAAATCGCATGCGTCATTCACAAAAATAAATTTGAATAAATCGCAGTACAAGGTTTCGTGTAGAGTGTTACCTACAACTCTACAACAATGTAGGCATCAAAACAATAAAAATGTTGTCTATAAATAAAGACAATGTAACTTTAAAAGTAACATTAAGTAAAGGTTGTGTAAACTATTTTCAAGATTTGAGCTGAACTCATTTTTAATTTAATTTTTAATCTGGACGAAGTGTCTCAACACATCTTGTCAATCTGAGCTCCAGAACATTCGCTGATGTTCGTCTCTGTCGTGGTTCTGACCTTTTACCCTGTGTCTTTTCATCCTTATAATGGATTTGTCCCATAATGCACTTACAGAGCAGGACTGGCTTCCTCTGCATTTGTCTGTCTGCCGGATTAGGAGGCGTTGATGAGGTTTGTCTGATGGACAATCACAGAGAATAAACTAACATAACTAGATTTTACATTTTTTTTAAAGAGAAAGAGTGGTGCAAAAGTCTCAGCGATGATGCTTTTAGTGGTTGATTGCTAGATTGTACTGGTTGCTATGTGGTACTAGTCAAAAGATCCCAGCCCCAGAGTTCTCTATTCTGGCTTTATCGTTGTCCTCCAGACAAAAATCAGATCGCAAGAAGTACCAAAGTTTAATATCTAGTATTGAGGCTTTGTTCAAATACTCAGCATCACTAAATGAGTACATTAGCAAGTACCACGTAGCATCCCTGTGTAAAACAACACACTCTACTCACTCAAAGCTGGAAGTCTTTTGAAACATGGGTAACTAGGGATGTTCATTTCAATTTTTTCCCTAACCAACAACTGATGCTCGTTAAGCAACCATTAACCGTTAAACAACAAGATTATGTTAAATTCAAATAAATTAGAATAATTGTCACAAGAATAAACACAAATATTTTTCACTTTATTAACCGATTAACAAAACGGAAGGGAAAAAAACTGTACGACGACGAGTAGCGGCCTATATGCTGAGTTTGGATCATTTGTGACGCGCTCCAAGAACAAGTATACAGAAAAGGAAACTGAGATGGCAGAAAGGGGTTTGTTGTTTTCTTTATTTGATAAAAGTAAACCTTATCTGTATGACCATAAATGTATATGACCAAAAAAAGTAATTTAAGTAGTTTCCGCTGTTATTAGGAAACAATTCAAGTTCAAGCATTGCCAACTTGACATCTCAGCCTAAAAAAGTCAACCAAACTAAAAGTTCCACTTTTTTTTCCAAGCATATTTTTGCGCATTTGAAAGGATGATGTTGATGATTTCTCTTTATTTACTGGTATTTTACATAATGTAATAATAAAATGGGTTAAAATGGTTTCTCTCAAAACCTGAATTTTATATGTATAGCATATTTTTTTTAACCATGCAGCAAATCTTTCTTGAAACGGTACTTTTTAAACCGTTTTACCGATAGTATTAATCTATCAAAATTCTTACTGACGGTTAACTGGTTAATTATGAGTATCCTCACTTTGAGTCATTTTGGATTTGGAGGTGTTTAGGAAATGGAAAGAAGCTTGTGGTTAAGGATCTTGGCTGGTTTGATCTAAGGGGCAGCCCAGGATCAAAAGGGATACTGAATTTGTTCCAGTTTTAGCGCCATTAAGCCACATTAACCCCTGGTTCAACTGTGCCTTTGTCTCCTACAGTAACAAGAAAAATTGTGAGTAGGGAATCCTTCAAATCAATGCATTAGCTCTTCAGTCAGCTGCTGCTAGTATGTAATGTCCTTAATGCAGCTTCTGCTTGTTTAATTGAAAGTTAATGTGAACATTATGTATGTTGACCTTGTGAGGGTCTTAACACAGTCTTAAGATGAGGTGAATAAGCTGACACCAATCCTGCTGAGAAGCCCAATGGTATTTTACCGGATTTAACACTGGTTTTCTTAGTATTAGCGAAAGTCTACTTTACTTCTCCATTAAGCACTCATAAGTTAGATTGAGTTGTACATAAAGTCTTGCTGTGATTTGTTATTGCAATAGTTGCACTGAATTTAAAACTCTTCATGAAAAAACATGCTAGTTCTTTGATGAATTGATGCGCAGCTTGAATTCTCTCACAGCTTTGGCACAAGCGCCGGTTAAATACAGCTCCGTCCAACATTAATACAGCGTTTTATTCCCATGCCACAGTCTGATTTATGCTTTTGTCAACCTTCACATTTACTCTAAACTCTTCAACAACGTTGACTGCTAGGTTTAGTTTCATTACTCAGTCAAGAGCTCAAGTAAATGAGTTGCAATTGAAACGAAGAAATTCTGTAATTGCAGGATCCGTGAATAAACTATAATCTTGTGCTGTGGTATGTCCCAGGGTTTGTCATTATATACTTTGGCAACATCTAATTTTTCTTTAGGATGCCCTGTTTTTAGTCTCTGAGTCATGGGCAAAAATTACTATTTATTCATGAATTGGTGAATAAATGACATCAGTTATTCCTGCCGTATTTTTGGCTGCTGGAATTTCCTCACGTTTTATGGGTCTGATGGCTGACTTGAGCTGGCAAGGCTTTATTTAGGCTTCCCTGTCTAAAACCACAACCTTAATCACAATTCACAACCCAAAATCAAGACTTTTTTTGACTTTTGTTCCACTCAAGAGTACAGCGATGATGATGATGATTCATATCTTCACTGAAACAGCCTGATGAAGTAGCTGAGGAATTTGGAGATGGTTCTGCAGGGGAGTGAAGTTCTGCAGGGGAGTGAAGTTCAAAGGTCAAGGTGTTTCCATATGGGAATGAGAATTAAGAAAATTAAGTTCTAACCTGAGGTTAAAGGTCATGAGAGGGAGGCTTACATGGGGAACATTTGTCGGATATCACACAGAGGACACGTATTATCAGTTCAGTAAACTCGCTCTCTCTCTCGTTCATTGATTAGTGGAAAAATCTGCTTGTGTTTGTAAAGTGAGTTATGTAATGTTAGTCTGTAAGTGTTCTTATAAGTATAGAATCATATACCGGAAGTTGGCATAGCACTGAGATTTTAACAGCAATAAATATGTATTTAGCATACATAGTTCATTGCATGTGAAAAAGCCTTTATTCTGATGGGAGGACATGTTTGCATGTTTATTACATTAATATTTCATCAGTTAGTCAATATCGTGAATTGTTTTGCATTGTTGCGCTCCCAAATCTGTAACTCTCAGAGTTGCCACAACTGGCGCTACACCAGACGTTACTTTACTGTCTTTTACAATCAGTTTTCTGTCTCAGGTCTTCTGTCATGATAACAGTTTGAAGAATATCTTGCTGTGCACGTTAGTTGAACTGTTGACATTTCTAGAGTTAGTTAACTGAATAACACGTTTTTCTGTTTGCAGACACTCAATCAAACTGGACCACAGCCTCTCTCTGACGGACAGTGTGAATCATGGCTCTTCCTTTTAAGAAAGATCTGGAGAAGTATAAGGAGATCGATGAGGATGAGATTTTGGACAAGCTGTCAGAGGAGGAGCTCAAGCAGCTGGAGAGTGCTCTAGATGAGATCGACCCAGAGGTGAGACACTTTTATTCACTCTTTCATAGGGATGCACGATGATATCGGGACAACATCGGTAAAATGACCATCATCGGTATCGGCCGATATGAATATTTCTGCCGATGAGCCTTGCCGATAGGGTGGCGTGTTTCCTATGCGCACGTGACGACCGCGAACGAAGCATGAGCGCCAGCAACTTAAACTTTCAACTAGGGGTGTGCGTCTCACGCCGTTTTGGATCGTGGACGATTAAAATGTCTCTTCACGATCTGCTTTTGAAGAAAAATCATAGTATCGTGCATTCTATCAGTTCAATTCAGGCGCCTTCATCTCAACATACTGTGCAACGCGATGTACATTCACATCACATGTAAACGCAGAGGTAGAGTAACACTGCAATTCACAAAAGTTCATTATTTGCATGTGCGTCAAAGTCTTGCTAGTTAAACATGTCATTCACGTGCTGATGCGCTGTTCTAACATGCGCTTTTCTGAGCGCGTTACACCCGACGCTCACAGGAACTAAAGCCTGTCACAGCGCCTGCATACTGGACTAATCTTTCGAGTCTTATTGCGCTGATACTGTCAAATACACACAAGGTTTACATAAACAAAGTTGGTTATGTCTAAAGTGAAAGCAAACAGAGAAAATCTGCTTGTCAAATGCGTGTATATTAGACGCGTCGCGTGCAGTTCTTAAAGAGACAGTACTAATATGCTGCCGCTTGTCCTTAAAGAGATACTGCACCCAGAAATAAAAATTCTGTCATTATTTACTCACTCTAATGTTGTTCCAAACCTGTATTAATTTCTTTCTTGTGCTTAAATATACTATGGAAGTCAAAAGCAACTGTTTGGTTAGCCACATTCTTCCAAATGACTTTTATTTTCAACAGAAGAAAGAAACTTGAGAGAGTAAATGATGACAATTTAAATTTTTGGGAGAACTGTCCCTTAATGTTAATAAAACAACAAAACACAGAGGAAATCACTCACTGCTCTTGACTGAGAACTTAATAGAAGCTTTAATAAGCTTTTTTTGCACTTAAAAAAAAATACAAATATATCGGCATCGGGCAAAATTAGTTTGAAAATATCGGCATATCGAATATCGGCCAAAATCCAATATTGTGCATCCCTATTCCCTACTCTTTCAGACAGTTTGACAAAATCTATCTAAACTTCATTAATTGATTTCTGTGCAGAAAACTTGCAACGTGGGTCATAGTTCACATCCGGACAGTAATGTGTTTGTTTTAATGGCCACATTTCATATAGCATATAGCACCACAGGCATTAGCAAAAGCAAAATTATGAACTCAGAGTTGTTGTAGAAGTATATCTACCTGCATTTGTGTTGATGTCTACATCATTGTTACAGCAGTGGATGGAGATATACCAGAGTTTGATTACACTGCTCAAAACAAAGGGATCAGTTATTAATGTTTATCACCCCAAAATCTGAATGACTTTTTCTTCTTCTGTGGAACATAGCCTAAAAGAAGATATTTTGAAGAATGTTGGTATCAGTTTTGGTGACCATTGACTTATATTGTGGATTCAAAAAACACTAAGACATTTCTCAAAATATCTTATGTTCCACAGAAGAAAGCTACAAGTTGAGGTTGAGTAAATAATGACAGAATTTTCATTTTTGAAAATATACTATCCCTTCTTGAAGCACTTGTAATAAATGTGTGGAAAATCAGTCCTAAAGATGGGATTTTAATAATTTGATGTTGTATGCAGAGCAAAAAAGCTTAGAAAAACCAGACACAAACAATCAGCCTGTCATTTCTGGTAAATTGCCAATAACATGGTGATGACGTAATTCACAATAATGTTATTGTGATTATGGGTGTGGTCATATGTTTGAACTGCTGGGATAGTGTTGAGAAATCATTTGTTTATCAAACTGGTGAAAATAGCCATTTTCCAAACTGTGTAAATCTTCCTTTCTGGAGTTTCTGTTAAGACCTCTGATAAACAACTCTCTGTCTGTTTGTTTACGAATAAACAGAGTTCAAGTTTGCTCCCAAACACAAGAGCCAAACACTCTTCAGCAAAAATATCTCAGCAGTTTGTTTTTTTCCTATTAAGCAAAAATGTGTCAGTATCGTAAACAACACAATTCTGACATTCTGTGTTCAGATCAATCTATGATCATTAGAAAACAAATGCAAATTATAGTTTTTATTTAAGAATTGAATGCTTAATTAGATGTAACTTGGTGTGAAAATTGACGTTTCTGTTTCATACTATAACTGGTACATCTGTTCTGAATCCATTACCCAGAATGCTCTGCTGCCAGCCGGACTCAGGCAGAAGGACCAGACCACAAAAGGGGCAACCGGTAATTTTAACCGTGACAAACTCCTGCAGTATCTGGAGAAGGAAGCTATGGACCATAAAGACCGAGAAGATTGCGTCCCCTTCACCGGAGAAAGGAAAGGTACTAGAATGAGATAAGACGTGTTTGATATCAGTCTGGTTTTTGATACAGCAATAAACATTACTTTATCAGAAATGCCACTCATGAAATATCCGTAAGGGTCCAGGTCTTGAAGATTTGCTGCATTAACCTATTAGTAGAGTTTCTTAGAATCAGAGTTTGTATGACACGGCACAGTTGAGGGTTTAAAATAATCTGTTTGATTGAAGATCTGAATTGTTCAGTCAAATATGGAAAAGTCTGTCATTTACTCATCCCCATGTCATTCCAGACTCGTACGACTTGGTTTTCTTCCAGTAACACAAAAGATGTTTAGTGGAGTAGTTATAGACGTTGTTAGGTATTTTTTCCAAATAATGATCTGCCAAACTCCAAAATGGCTCCATATCTTTGTAGAATTGTTCTTAAAATCATATTATTATTATTATTATTATTATGGATCAATCTCCATGGCTCTTCCATTGGAGGAAGCACAACGGGCATCTTGGATCATGTTTGCCATGATAGCCAATCACATTACATCCTTAACATCATTTAATTTCTGTCAGAATTTTGCGGCAATTTGCAGATATCATAGAAATGACTGAGAAGTGCTGTACACTGAATCCTAATTGTCTGTCTTCTCTCATAAAACAGCCATTTTTTGGTGTAAATTTAAAAAAGATCATTTCAAAATAATGTTTAAAGACAAACATGTTTAAAATTAGCCAATATGCTGTCGATTAAGTGATAAACTGTTTCCTCACTAAAGCAGTTTATTCCGCGTACTGAAGCCTCTTCTCCTTTGAAAAAATGACCTCATTGTACCGCAGCTTTACATTTATTTTTGCTACAGTAACATTGGTGGCTCGCCTTAAAGTGACTCTGGTTATGATATGTGTATGATATGTTTATTTGTCCTTTTGGAGCTTGACCATATACATCACTGTCCTTTTTTGTTTATGAAAAGGAAAAGTTATACAGTTTTAGTGTAAATAAATGACAACATTTTCATTTCTTTGAGTAAACCGGTTCTAGTAATGCTGCATCCAAAATCACATGCACTCTGATTGGGTTCTTGTTTTGAAAAAGTACTTAAATTTTTGTTTATACAGTCACACAGTATGTTCTATATAGTATGAAAGTAATCTGGATGTACTACATTCTTCATGTTATTGTCATGTGACCTCCTCCCGCTTCACTGCCATTCACAACTCCTCTCCCTTGGTCTCTTGGGATAGTAAACTGTCCGCTGAATGCGCACTTCAGAATATCACCAGAAGTAGTAGGTCACCAGGAACTTTTTGTGAATTTGGACATACTACTAATCTCACAGTGTTTTTCGTCTACTATAGTGCTATATTGTAAGGGAATTAGGCATATTTAGATCCAGCCATTGAGATGATTGGTTAGGGGACCGTAAGGGGTTATTCTATGTTTTGGCTCAGTGTTGGTCGCTGATGTTTTGCTGAAGTTTTTAGAGCCTAGTTGTTATACTTGTGATTCACTGCACGTGTGTGAAAGCCCTGATATACTCAGGACAAAGTTATTTGCTTGGGGGCAAACAAAGAAGTTTGAAATCCCTTCAGGAAATATGTAAATATGTGCTGCACGCTTTCCTCTCAGGATTCAAATAAACGCACAGTAAAAGTGACAGCAGTAAGAAAACAACTGTTAAGAAAGCAAATGAACTCCAAACAAAAGTTTTGCCCTGATTTTGTTTGAATTTACATCACACCGGTTCTTTCTTTTATTTGGCTTGAAGTATATCGGGGCCTTGACTCTTCCATGTCCTCCTGCTGTGTGTGTGTTAGTGAGAGTGCTGTATCAGCTCCTGTAGTGATTTAAATTCTGCTGTCTCTGCATGTATGATTAGTTAATACTGTCTGTACTTACATAACCACACACACTGAAGCTTGGATGCCCGATATCTGTATGCGTTTGTGGGATTGTCTGTGTGTGTATTAACATGTTGGCTTGGCACGTGAATGCCCCATCTTAGTAAATGCACACTGCTTTTTATCTACTGAAGTTTTCTACTGAAGTTGCTGAGATGCACGCGCTCATTCACAGCTCCATGATGCAGATAGTGTTGAGAGGGACAGGATGTTCAATAATAAATTATAGTGTCTAAAGGTAGTGCTGAAAGTTTAGATATGTGCATGTAGATTTAAGGCCTGTTCACACCATGACGAATATTTGGTGCGACGACTCTGTGATAAACATTTTAATTTGAATGAACGGCTGTTACTCCGTCTGTTCAGACAGACAAGACGTGACAGATTTTTTTTAAAAGAGAGGTTCTAATCTCTCTGCCATCGCACTGTAAAGAAAACTGGCCAGCCAATAGCATTTGTGCTTTTGGGCACATGCCCACTGAGCCATCAAACTAAGACTTGGTGGTGCTCATGAGTTTTGCTAAATGACAGTGAATAGCAGAGGAAGAATCCGGAGCTCTCATTCTCTGTAGTCTTTTATTGGGTGTTGATTGAGAAACATTATAGTGAATACATAAAAATGAATGGCTGTTTAAAAACAGTGTTCGACTTCCTTTCTTCTCCGTTTTGTGTCCTGGAGTAACCAGGGTGTTTCTGCTTTTCTATAAACGCCACCTACTGTCAGAGCGCTAAACTGCATTTTCATTCACACAAATCACAAACAGATCTGAAGTATAGTTTTGGTTATAGGCGTTTGGCTTCTGACATGCATAAGCGGTAGACCAATCACAATAGACCATCTGGCCAATCAGAGCAGAGTAGCTTGCAGAAAGGAGGGATATAAAACATGCAATCCTGTTGTAGGAGACCTCCAAAACAAAATTGGAAGCCTTTAAAATAACATAATAGGGGCACTTTAAGGTTAGTGTGTAGTTATTACTTAGCTTTATTTAAAGGGGTGGTTCAGGATTTTGGACATCGGACCTCATTTCCAAGTTAGCCTTAGTGTTCTTTATCAGTGGAGACAGTTTTCAAAAATTTTCATCAAGTCGTTCCAGTTGCATAGTTCGCCGGTGCTAGGCTAGCGTGAGTCAACGGTAACTGCTAGCTTGCCATTAAAAACAGTTTTACCCACTCCACAGTACACCAAAAGCAAATAAATTATAACGCCAGGCTATCGATGTAAATGTCTGTTGAGAGAATAATGTTAGAAATCAAACTACCCTTTCATTGCATTGCAATAGTTATACTTAGTTCCCTGTATTTATTAGCACAGTCTACAGCAGCGGCGCCGGCGGAGTGATATTAAGTTACCTAGGCAACCGAGAGAGTTAGTGAGAGAGAGAGAGAGAGAGAGGTAGTGCAGGTAGTCCCGACTGTAGTGCTCTTCTGTTCTGTTTACTTTTCGGCGCAGTACTACTAACCGGAGCAAAGTAAAATTCCGCCGCCGCCAAAACTAGTTCCTGTAAATGTAATGCGATCATTGAGATGCAAGAGTACTTAATTCTAAAATTATTCTCTCAACAGACATTTACATCGATAGTCTGGCGTTATAATTTATTTGCTTTTGGTGTACTGTGGAGTGGGTAAAACTGTTTTTAATGGCAGGCTAGCAGTTACCGTTGACTCGCGTTAGTCTAGCACAGGCGAACTATGCAACTGGAACGACTGGATGAACATTTTTGAAAACTGTCTCCACTGATAAAGAACACCCAGGCTAACTTGGAAATGAGGTCCGATGTCCAAAATCCTGAACCACCCCGTTAATAAAAACTCTAGTTTCTATGGTACGTCCTAAATTTAGATGCATGTGACTTTACTCACCTCTCTTGTTGTGCCCAGCACAACTTAAGTTGTTTGTTCTTGCTAGGTGTGTTCCATTCAATCAGTCAATGAATGGTTTGATGATAATTTCCTGTGACTCGACTGTTAATCTCTTAACTGGGCAGACCACATAAATTGATCACATTTCGACAAGATGTGAGCCTACTTTAAGTATTCATCATCGGTTTCATGTCATCGGGTGCGTCAAGTGTCGAAATAATAAAACTGTGTGTCCAAAATATATACAGCATGAGGAAATATTAGCCAAAGGTTGTAAGATAACTAGCCTGATTCAGCAGTTATATACGATACACATGAGAGGTGTGGAGAATTTGGAAAGGTTGTTTAAAGGAACTAAAATTAACAAAATAATTCTAAAATCCAACCCCGTGATATCACGTTTTAGAAACGCAAGGTATCTACAAAAATAGTAGTACTGAAAGATTTGCTACAAAGGCTATAACAAAACATATATATTATATATATATATTTTTAAATTATTACATGTATTTTTTTTATGCAATTTCTGATTGGAGGTGAAATCCTTTTACTAAATGTTGACTTGACTGACTGCTTCAATTGCCACTTTAAGCCTTTTTATTGTTAGTAGGCCTATTTAAAGTAATGTAGAACACCTCCTGTGTAAATGGCAGCATGTGTTTTGTTTGTGAACTGGGATTGCTTCTTATTCTATCGAGATGACAAACCGGTTCTGCAGAAAATCTGTATTTCAGCAGAAAACCCCACTAAACTCTGTAAACCGGTTATTAAAGAGCAGACTGGTATTATTTACTTATGACTCGTATGAGAAATGTTTTTCCTGAACACTTTATAGCCATTTTCAAAAACAAGAAACCATGAAGATAATTGTTAATGAATGTATTGGTCACCTGTGGTCTTTGTCATCTGATTGATTTGAGTATTTTTAGCTTTATGACTGCTGGGGATGTTTCCAGCCGTTTTCTGGGCTGTCAGGAAAGTAAAGATCTTTAGATTTCTTCCTGTAGAGTTTTAGAGTATGTGTAATGGTTCCCTCCCTGGCATGAGCTTCTCGTCTGTTAAATCCATCATCTCAGATGGGTTTAATATCATATTACACACACACACACACACACACACACACACCAGATTAGCCTGTAATGGTTTAAAACACTCCGGTTTTAGCATTAGTGTGAACAGTAGTGTGTATATTAGTGTTGACAATGAGTAATACTGATTCAAATTCAGTTATGTACAGCTGAGACATGTAAAAATCACAGA